GGGGTTGTGTGGAGGGGAACGTACGCGCCCGAACTCTCGCACTTGAGCCGGCAGACTCGCGGAGGCGAGCACGCGCACGATGTACAGTTGTACAGTGTGGAAGTCGACGCCGACGCGCGGTGCGTCGGCGTCGGCGGCGGCGTCCGAGGGCGGACGTCGCCGGGCGGCGTCCGCGCGGTGCCGGAGCAGCCGCGAGGTCGTCGTCGTCGTGTTCTCGTCGTTCTCATCTCGTTCTCATCTGGGCAGGCCCGTAAGCACAGCCGTCGGGTCACCCGGGTCACCCGCGCCCGCCGGGTCACCCGTCGAAGGCCGACTCCTCGTCGATCGCGCCCGCGCCGAGGCGCCGGTCGCGGCGGTTCGCGGGCGTCCCGACCTCGGAGCCGTACGAGTAAGTGTAGCTGTAGGAAGCAAGAGAAAGGCAGTCGCTGGCCTCCTCGAGGGACGTAATCCCGCGCAGCTCCACGAACCGGACTTCCGCGATGCCCAAATAGACATCGAAGGCCTCCTCGAAGAAGAGGCGGATGTGCTGCGTCTCGACGGGGCTTATGGCGAAGCACGCGTCCGTGACGTCCGGGAGCAAGCTCGGGTCGCCGTTGCCGGCGAGCATGCCGTCGGTCTCGTCGTAGGTCCAGCTCGGGCTCGTCGTCCAAGTCGAGCCGTCGTCCGACGTGTCGACGCGCACGCTCGTAGCCCCGAACATGTCGTCCCCGCTCCAGTCCCAGACCAGGCACACGCCCGTCACGGTGTGCATCGCCTTGAGGTCGTAGGCGATCGACTGGTTGGTCGAATTTTCGGCCAACCAGCCCGTGTCGTTCTGACCGTCGAGCGTTCTCCCGCAGTGGGCGCCGTCCTCCTGCGACGAGGCCGAGCACGCGTCCGGGAGCAGCTCCATGAAGCACTGATCGGTGCCCGTGGGCGGGGCCGTCGGTTGGGTCGTGGGCAGGCCCGTGGGCAGGCCCGTGGGCAGGCCCGTGGGCAGGCCCGTAGGCGCGGCCGACGGGTCGGCCGTGGGCCCGGCCGTGGGCAGGTCCGTGGGCAGGTCCGCGGGCTTGGCCGTGGGCAGGTCCGTGGGCAGGTCCGTGGGCTTGGCCGTGGGCAGGTCCGTGGAATTGGCCGTGGAATTGGCCGTGGGCAGGCCCGTGGGCAGGTCCGTGGGCTTGGCCGTGGGCTCGGCCGAGGGGTTGGGCGTGGGCTCGGCCGAGGGCTCGGGCGTGGGCTTGGCCGTCACGACCTCCACCGTAACGGTCGCTTCGGCGAGCGCGTCGAACGTCTTCTCCTTCTCCACGCCGGCGGCTTCGAGCGCCATGAACGCCGTTGCCGAGCCGTCTACCGAGGCGGCCTGCGCTATAAGCTCTGGGAGGAACTCGTCGCTCTCCACGGCCGCGCCGATCTTCGCCGTCGCCGCGACCGCCGCGTCCTCCGCGGCCTCGACGTCGGGCGCGAAGATGTAGGCGTCGAACGAGACTTCGACGACGTCGCCGTCCGTGTCCTGGAGCCGCCGCCGGGTCGACGTGCTCTTGGCCACGATGTTCGACACCTCGTCGTAGCCGCCCAACGAGATGATCGTCGCCTTGAACGCCGCTCGCACGTCCGCGTCCTCGTTCACGTCCGACGCCGAGAGCCCCGTCATGAAGACCGACGTCGTCACCTTCGCCTGCGCTCCGGCGGGCGCCGCCGTAGTGGTCGTCTC